CTCAGCCAGCTACACACACATACAAAAAAAAATTAATTAATTAAATAAATAAATACATTAAAATGTGTATTGGTTTATATGGAACAAAGAGACATATGATATATACTTGTATTTATATGGCACTTGTATAAAAAAAACATTGTAATAACACAATAGAGTACTTATTATTAAAATAATATACTTTTAAAGTGCATACTTAAGTGTGTACATACTTAAGTGTGAATTAAATGTAATGTTTTTTTGACAATTGCATGTTCATTGAAATGAAGAGAAAATGTATTCTAATTTAAATTTATATTAAATGCAATTAGATTAACTTAAAAGTGTTTTTTTCCACCCACTTAAGCACATCTTTACATGTAATTTCATAATTATTATATTGTCTTTCAAATATGGTTAAAGTGAAATATGGTTAAAGTGTACTGCCAAATGTAATAGGCACTTATAGTAAATTAAAATATATATTAAAAGTAATTTGTATCTAAACTTGTATGTCATGTATTTGCAATTATACATTTGTAATGGCGAAATTGCAGTTTAGTCAATATATATTAAAGGGGTCATATGATGTTGCTAAAAAGAACATTATTTTGTGTATTTGGTGTAATGCAATGTGTTTATCCGATTTAAGGTTAAAAAAACAGTATTTTCCACATAATGTACATTATTGTTTCTCGGCGGCGTTATGCAAATCTTCCCACACAGTGACGTAGATATGTGGGGGCGTGTTAGAACGAGTCGTTTTAGGTAGGTGTGGCTGACTCTTAACTTTTATGAAGAATATCTCTTTGGATTTGAGACTTTAGTCTTTGCAACTTTACAGATCCTCTTTATGCATCAAGAGCTTGTAACACTCCAAAGAGAAAGGAAAAATTGAAATTGCAACATATGACCCCTTTAACCTTAAAACACACTATGGTTAAATTATAACTTTAGTATGTTAGTCAGCACATCAAAATAAGTGTACTTTTTTAAAGCTCAACAAAAGATTATTAAAACAATTTTTTTAAATACACCAATTAAAACTTTTAAAAAAGTAATAAAAAAATTACTGCACAGTGTACTTTTAAAGTGTACTTGAGTGTGTTAAGAAACAGTGATAAAAGAGTACTCTCTCTTGAAGTGCATTTAAGTGGCCATTTAATTAACATTCTATTATCTGCAAACACAGTTTTAATATACATTCAAGACTTTAGTACACTGAATTCAATTAACTGCACTGCTTTTTCACAGCCTGAAAACATCACTGCATCATAGTACTGCCACAGTAAGGATAAGTGTTATTAAAATTATATTTTTTGACAACGTACTTTGTCCTCGTTGATGAGCCTTTTGCACTGGAGGAAATACCAGTATGTCGTACTTTTCCGACCCGTTTTTAACTTTTCCACCAGCTGCGCATCTTCCTCATCCGCATCTTTGTATTTCAGATCCAGCTGCTGCTCTGGGGATGTTTTGCGGAAGGTTCGCCTTTAGGAGAACTTTCTAGAATAATCACCAAACACATCACTTGTATCTTCCTCGTGCACATGATCAGATGTTATTGACCTCGTATTGTTGCTGTCAGTCCATCTCGGACGTGTTAAAGTAACCGATTCACTGAAGAATCTCAAGCGTCCTTGATGTGCTCGCTCAGACGGACAGACATTTGAGGATACGGCAGCGCACTTAATAGCACTGGTGTTCCGTGTGAAAATACCCCCCAGAAGTGCAGAACGCAACATTTTGGCCATCAATCTTGAATTAATACCTAGTTACTCTATTTATTTATCACCCTTTACTTGGTAGAAACATTTGCTAGAATTCCTTACATGATGTTTCTACAGGAAGTTGCCATGATGCCAGAACGGAAGACATTACTAATAGATAACCTTATTATTTACTCTATTCCATATTATCGTACAATTGAATGAAACAACAAACACATTTTATATAACGAAATCAAAAATGAAGATGAGCGGGATCGATTAGTAGGGCTTATCGTGCTGCTGAAACTGCAGCAATGTTACCGCTATTATGGAACTGCCATCTAGTGACTAATATTGAAATTATGTATTGGAATTACAAACTTGACAATGACGAGCGATTTTTGATACATACATGTATTAATACATACAAACATGTAACTTTGGAAGAAAAATCCCACTCTGTTTACATTCCAAAATGAATTTGTTTCTAAAAGCGTTATTGTGGTATTGTGAAGCCTGCTTGCACAGTTTAATAAACATAATAAAATAAAATTAAATATATCAGCAAATTTGAAGATTAAACAAATAATTTCACTATATTGCTGTAAAATGCTTTGATAATGGCACAAAACATTCATAGGCCATATAGGCTACTGTAGTGTCAGAGACTATAGTAAACAAATTTGTAGGGTATTCCCACATGTTCCTATCAATATAAGACATTTTTTTATATTATCTTTATTAAGATATACTGAAAGGATGGGTTAATTGCCATAAATGCACATTTAGATATTTGCTCTGTATTTTCTTTCTTTATAATCCCAAAAATCCCCTAAATTTAATTATAAATGTTAAACGTCCTTTCTATTGAAACTTGTATGCTATGTATTTGAGCATGTTTGTAACGATGAAGCTAAAATGTAGTAATGTATTTAAATGAAAAATAGAATAACCCTAGTTAAAACTATAATAGATTTATCAAATTAAGTGTACTCCTTTGAAGCATATTGACAACAAATTATTTTTTTTAAACATAATGATTTAAAATGTACTTTAAATTATTTTTTAATGTGACATTATTAAAAGTCATGAAAGTACACTTTTTTATTTCAGTAATATTATATAATTTGCAAGTACAGTTTCCTAAAAATATATTTTTTAGATTATGTACACAGCCATAGACATGTATAAATGGAGACACTTTGCTGTAGTGAAATGATTATTCATGACATTTACATTCACTTCTGGTTAACCTCTCTGGCTTCCCCCACTGCTGCACATTTCAAAACAAGACTAATGTAATAGTGAGATACTGAGCTGTGTGTATTTGCTCTCGCATCGTGTCAGTAGATTTTTCTCTCTTTATCTTCCATGACAGACTGCAATGCAGGATTGCTAACTGTGTGTAGCCCCCCATAAGACTGCTGAGCGCACCCACCCACATACTGCAGAGAAGATGAGGACGAAGGGATTTGTTTCCTCAGCATCTACTGAGAGATCTCACACACAATGTTTCCATGGAGATGACACTTCATGTATGTGGTTCTTTTGTGTTGAGCGTATAGGAATAAAAGACACAATCACACTTGTTCTCACAGACAACATGTTTCTAAAAGTATCTTCCAGTGCATCTAAATTTGCTTTTATGTCTGAGTGTACATGTGTTTGCCTTCCTACATTTTTAATCTCCTTTTTCAAAATTTTGCTTCTTTTGAATATTACTGTTGTTGTTGTTGTTGTTGTTGTTGTTTTACTCAGATAAGAACTTATCTGACTATAAGATACCTATAAGATAAGGTCTTATAGTGTGACGTAAATGAAGATAATAGATCATTTAAGGGTTCTGTTCTGCATTTCTTCCGAAATCTCCCGAGGTCTTCTGCCCTGGAAGCAAGCCATTGGCATGTGAAAACAAAACTTCAAACGACAAAAGAAGAGAAATGTTTATTTTTGAAGAAAAGAGAACATTAACACTGTTCCTTAAAATGCAAATGCACCGTATCACGATGGTGGTGGGTAACATGAATATGGCTAGCTGAAAAATCCAGATGCAGATGTCATGATTTGCATTAAAAGTGGATTTGCATCATCCAAGTGGATGCTGCACACATGAGGAGAGAACCCCCCCCCCCACACACACACATGATTGTAAATGGGTGTACAACAATACACAATAAAGCGCTATATAAATGCATCATTCATTCATTAAATGGGGAAGACCGGGGCCAGTTGTCACAGTGGCTGGGTCTCAGTAACTTCAACTGTCAAAAATGCATGCACAAATGTGTTTTCTCTTGCAGTGGTTTTGTGTGTTAATTTCAAACCTAATTAAGTCCTAACCCTGCTCTCTTAAAAATAAAGATTCCACAAGGAATCTTTTGAAAGTGATGCCATAGAAGCATTTTTGGTTCCTCAAAGAATCTTACAGTGAACAGTTCTTAAAAGAAGCATTATTTTTCTTAGCGTGAAGAAAATGTTAATAATCTAAAGCAGAGGCTTTCAAACTAGGGTCCAGGGACCCCGAGGGGGCCACAAGGAAGCACTAGGGGGTCCATGGAAAGATTACTGAAAAACAATGTAATAATAATAATAAGATTAAACTGAATAAAAATCAATAAAAAAGTACAATAAGAAAATATTCAAATAAATATATACAAAAAAACGATTTAAACAAACAAACAAAACAAATACAGTGCTATGGGTAGAAACGAAATAATATAATAGAAACTAATTATTTTGCAAATAATTTTTTACATTTATTTACAATATTAATATTTCCACAGTATAAATTAGGTCTTTATACATTATACATTTTATGGAGGTCCCTCACGAAGATGATCATGGGGTCCGCAGCATCTAAAAAATAGCAAGCCACTGATCTGAAGAAACCTTCTCCTCTAAAAACCTTTTGCGCAATGACAAGTTTTCATGGACGTTAACGGTTTTTCATGAAACCACATATGGCAATAAAATATTTATTTTTAAGAGTGTAACCTTTAAAATAAATTGTATTTATTTAAAATAAATGTTAATTCATTCATTTATTAATTCATTCAATTCATCTCGAATCAGTGATATAAAAAGTAGGTTTTTATTGTAACAAGACAGTTACAGTGTGACTGAAATAAATTCCTGGGCAATAACGGTGGAAATGTTCAATAGGTTTATTTATTTATTTTTGTAGCCAATATTTTAAGGTACTATGTGTTTATACACAAATGAACCCCCTCTATAGAAAGTGTGACAACTAGCCCCGGTGATCAATTGTTAAGCGCGTGATGATTCCGTGACTTGCGCAGGAGGGCGGGGAGCCTCGAGAGAGAATGAAGGAGCAGAAAACGAGCATCCTCAAATAACACCGCTTGGAAAACGAGACACTGGATCTTAATTAAAGATTATTCGCTTGAGGAAGTGAATGACATTAGAACATCAGGTAAGAGACCTGTTATCCATTCACGAGAGCGAGCGACAGCTCTGATTGATGTTCAGTTATTATCATACTGTAAGTGTCGATTGCATTTAGTTGCGAATATGTATAGAGGCATGTCAAATAACCCCAAAGACAAATGATCCGTCGTTCCAACAGCAATGTGATAATAGTATCTCAATTTTATTTTCCCGCCGTAAAAAATTACACTATGACATTGAGGCTCCATCTTTCTAAAAATAGCTTTGGTGGAACTGTCAGGTGACCTCGACGTGTCAACGTTAATCTTGCGTTTATCACCTAGTCCAATTGACTAGTCTAACTGTGTTTCATAACATGCCGTAAAATTTAAACCGCGCGCGGTTGTACAAAGTCAACTGGTAGGAGAGAAACAACACATTCATGCCCAGATGCTTCAAATGAAAACAGGTGTAGGAACAAATACAGAACCACTGCAATGCTTGGTTGCATAAAACAAAAGAATAGATTTTTTCCTGCACAGCATAGGTCTATCAAAATTCTGGGGATACTGGGGCAAGTTATCACACTTTTTACTCCAGTGAATATTTCTCAGGAAAGGTGTATTAAATTTTCAAGTGGATTTAGATATCATAATATGAATTCATAATTCAGATCTTATATTGAAAAACGTCTGTAAGTCCTTGTTATACTAGAGGTGTGTGT